TGCGACGCGGCCGTCGCTCTCTACAGCGTACAGCCGGGGCGTTGACCCAAAGAACGATAAGTAAGGAACGGGGCCCCTTTTCTCCATAAGTTAAACTTCGATTTCCCATCGAGAACATGAAGAAAACCTGAGACAAGCTGTGAAACAATGAAGGAACACCGAGCCCCTCCCCAGCGAAACGGGTTCCTTCTTCAGCGCCCCGACTGTACTGGAGCTCTCTGAGGGCGTTCTGGAACGCTCTTGAGCGCTTCATCTCCATCCCAGGCCTGCCTGAGCGTCAGAGATCGAATTGGGCGTTGCGCCCTGCGTGGGCGATCAAGGAGGGGGGGGAAGACACATACACCCATACACTTTCCTGCGTTTTTTTTGCCCCAGGTCCTCCCGTAGGGCCCCTCAGAACTGCACATCTCCTTATCCCCCCATCTCTACCGCCCCTCCAGTTACAGACCGCCCGATCGAGGGTCGGCCACGGCACCACTGGGCCTCTGAAGTGCACCAGATGCCGCAATACCTCTGAGCACACAGCGGGCTGTAATTCCAACATCGTCTCCCCTCTTCCTCGTCCTTCCTCCCCCCCCAGGTAGCCAGACTCTTCGACGTGTGCCCACACATGGCCCCACTCGGTTGCCAACGCCGCAGTCTCGACTTTGCCGACGCTCCATCCTGGGTGCATGGCCTTGGCTCGCCTGCTTGCGGATCGAAGGCCAGGGCCGGGGCCTCTGGAGGTCCCCGGGCACCTCGGCAGGCCTCCAGAGTTCTGAAGGGGCCCTGGAACACACAAATAAATACACAACTAAAAAGATTCCCCATATTTTCCCATATTTTCTGGGTTTTTGTCTTCCCCCCCTCTTCCCATATTTTCCCATATTTTCTTTGGGATCGACGATTAATTGTGTCTGTGTGTTTTTGTCCCCTCCTGAAGTTCTGTGGCTCCCATCGCACTTGAGGACCACCTCCCAGAAGTACTTTCGAGCCCCCGGAAGTGTCGACAGAGTGTAGAAAAAACAGTGTCGGACGAGCGTCGCCCAGGGCCCGACACGTGAAAAACCCTAGGGGTTCGGTCCTTTCTTGGTGTTCGAAATTCTTTCTGGTGATCGAGACTAATGAATATCGTTCATCCGATCCCCATCCCCAGCGGCGAGGCCTGGGCCCCACTGGCCGATTTACCCCCCTGCTCGAATTCCGTTATTAAACGTGGGGGGGGGGGGGGAAACGTCGTGTGGGGTGCCACGCCGGCGAAAATTATCCCAGGGCCAGATTGTCAGGCCGGCGAAAAATGCGACGCCCAACGGCAGGCGAAAATTATTCAATATTTTGAGACCGTGGCTGATGATGCGGATGGGGATGATCAGTGTGATCATGCTCGTGCTGATGGTGAACGAGATGAAGCGATGTTGGGGACGATGGCGCCCGGAAGTACCTGTGCCGAACACGGGTGGTTGCTATTACAATGCATACGATTACGGTACAGATGATGACGATTGTGATGTTATGTGATGATGGTGACGACGACGGTACTGATATGATGATGATGATGATGATGATGATGATGATGATGATGATGATGATGGTGATGACGATGACGATGATGATGATGATGATGCTGATGCTGATAATGATGATGCTGGCGATGATGATGATGTTGCTAATACTGCTGATGATAGTGATGTCATGTGGCTGTGCTGTTCTTTTTTGTATGATCACGGTGCATGCGATTGCGATGATGATACTAATGGTAACTATCATACGGTACTTGCTAATACTGTCGGCAACGGTAATGATGATGATGATTGTGATAGATGGTCGCGGCGATGATGGCGACAATTATGAACATGAGGCGGGCGACGGGGATGGTCGTGATGTGTGTTACGACAAAGGCGATTGAAGTCAAATGTGACACATTTTCCCATTCACCTGTCGAAGGGCCACATGGACCTCATGTGGGCCCTATCGGTGCTCTCCAAAAGATTCCTTGGGGTTCTCTGGAGCCGTCATGGGCTCTCCTGGGCAGGCATGGGGCTCTTTTGGGGCCTTCGGGGTCGTCTGAAAGATCTCTTGGGGCCGTCGTTGTGCCGTCTTGATCCGAGCATGGAATTTTCTTAGACCGACGTGGGGCTAGCTTACGGCCCTCTTGGGTCCGCAACGTGCTGTCCAGGGGCTTTAATTTGTAAGATGGTTTCACGAAGGCCCGTGCGACCCCCAAGACTGCCCTCAGGAGCTCAAGAGCCCAAAGACGAACAAAAATATGACGAAACGGTCCATGCTCAATGCGTTCATAGGCGCCGGCCAAAATTAAGCAGGCATGCCGCGAGGGCCGGCGGAATATGTTGTGAATCTCGAAGCTGGCGAAAATAATGTTGGGGCCCAAAAACCCGACCGATGAAAATTAAACCACCGACGCTTAACAACGGAAATGGGCTGGATGGGGATATAGGCCGTTCTCTTCGGGTTTCGAGAGGTGTATCCCCAATTCGGAGGGTTATTTGGTGGGGGTTTCGATAGGGATAAGCGATACTGAGCTAAAGTCGGTTGAAACATCACAACTCCGGGGACTTCCGCAAATGCTCGCGCATGTCCTTAACGGGGTGCGGCCGCCGCCGCTCCTTCCAGTGCGACACCGGCTCCACAGCCCAGGAGGCCTTTGAGGCTCCCTCCGGAGAGGCCTCCAGGAGGGCATGGTGACCAGGAGAGCGATCACGCGGATGAGGAGGAGGAGGTCGTGCGGATCACGAGGAGGAGGAGGAAGAGGAGGAGGAGGAAGAAGAGGAGGAGGAGGAAGAGGAGGAGGAGGAAGAGGAGGAGACTGTCAGGGGGTGAAAGATTCGGACTCCAGGTCCCCGTCGATGCGCGTCCCCGTCGGACGCGTGCCCCTCACACGCGACCCCTACCCTGGGACCGGCCCTTCATCCCGAATCGCTCCTCGACTGTCATGGGGCCCCGTAAGGCCCCGCAGAAATCGAGCACGGGCTATTCCGTCCTGCGCTAGGTGGCGACATCCGAACCCGCACCAACCATCGATTCTCCCAAATCGAAGGTGGCGGGGTAGGGTTCGGATTTCGCCACGTGTTCGACAAATTCCGAACCCCAACCCCCGCCGCCCATCGAGCTGCTTCACTCGTTGATCGGCCAAGGTCGGGTTCCCACTTCCACGCCGAATTTAGAAGAAGAAAAAACGCCATACAT